ACGAAATCCTAGTCAAATCTAAATAAATCCTAATAAAATCTTAAACAAATTCCAGTCAACTCTAAATAAATTCTAATCAAATTCTAAAAAAATCTTAGTCAAATCTTAATCAAATCCTAACCAAATCCTAATCAAATCCTAACAAAATCCTAACCAAATCTTAGTCAATCCTAAATAAATCTTAATCAAATTGAAAACAAATTCAAATCAAATCAAAGTCATATCCTAGTCAAATCCTAACCAAATACTATTCAAATCCTAATCAAATCCTAATCAATCATAAATAAATCCTAATCAATCTTAAATAAATCTTAGTCAAATCCTAAACAAATCCTAACCAAATCCTAATCAAATCCTAATAAATCCTAATCAAACCCTAAATAAATCTAAAAAAATCCTAACCAAATTCTAATCAATCTTAAATAAATCCTAATCAATTCTAAATAAATCCTAGTCAAACCCTAAACAAATCTTAACCAAATCTTAATCAAATCCTAATAAATTTTAATCAAAGCCTAAACAAACGTAAAAAAATCCTAACCAAATCCTAATCAAATCCTAATCAAACCTTAGTCAAACTCTAACCAAATTCTAATCAAATTCTAACCAAATGCTATTCAATTCTAAATAAATCCTAATTAAATCCTAAAAAAATCCTAATCAAATCCTTATCAAACCCTAGTCAATTTTAAATAAATCTTAGTCAAATCTTTAAAAAATCCTAATCAAATCCTAAAAAATCTAAATAAATTCTAATCAAACCGTAATCAAATCCTAACCAAATTATAACCAAATCCTTGTCAAATTCTAATCAAATCCTAATCAAATCCTAATCAAATCCTAACCAAATCCTAAATAAATCCTAACCAATTTTTAACCAAACTCTAATCAAATCTTATACAATCTAAAATAAATCCTAATCAAATCCTAAACAAATCCTAACCAAATCCTAACCAAATCCTAGTTAAATCCTAATGAAATTTAAATCAGTTCTAAATAAATCTTAGTCAACTCTAAATAAATCTTAATCAAATTCTAAACAAATCTTAATCAAATCCTAGTCAAATCCTAAACAAACTTAAATAAATCTTAACCGAATCCTAAACAAATCTTAAACATATCCTAATCAAAATCTAAATAATCCAAATAATTCCTACAACAGATTTAAACCTCAATAATTAATGAATGAACTATTGATTTTAACTCAAATTTTGCACAACTCTTTATAATTAAGTTGACTACAAGTACAAAAGTTTTGAAGAAGATCAAACTCACCAAAAAGAAGATCAACTCTATTATTTGTTGGCCTGCCTCATTCTTCAATCTAAATGTTGAATTTTCAACATCAATATCTCCTTATCAAACCATTCGATTGATTTCAAATTTCTTAGATATATATAGGAAAATAAGTCTATTACCTATATACATAAAATTTAAATTCCAATCGAGTTGATAGATACTAAGAAATCTTTAAAATCTTCATTAGACCTAAAACTCTACTTCTTGAGACCCCAACCCACATAAATCTTAATAATCCTTGATCCAACTTTTTGATCAAGCTAAAACTCATAGCATATATTAAATAGTTATAAAACCACAAACCTTCAAAACTTCACTAGTATTTCTATTTCCAAACCAACAAAATTCTCCAAAAATTATCACCCACATTATTTCACAAATCCAGAGTCATCCAAAACAAATCCTAAATTTGCAAAGCTCTTACAAAGTCAATACATATTCAAATAATATCAAATCAATATTCAAAAAAAATCTATGAAGCCAACTCTTAAATCCTATTCTTTGATTTTCAATAAAACTCCAAAATTATCATCAAGGCTTGATTTTATACCTTGGGATTTGATTTCGACCTTGGTTCATAATTGGCCCTCACTGAGTACCAATATCTAGTTTTTCTAGGTAATTTTTACTAGAATTTACTCTCAAGTTCTTCTTTAAGATACTTATATCATTTTTTTTCTAATCTACCTTATTTTGCATTATTTATGGCCCTACAAAGTAAGTCAATGTCACTTTTCTAAAAAAGCATCATTACTATTAAAAGTTTGACTACCTTCCTATCTTTTATCCATATTTTTTTACTTTATCTTTTAACTTGGCTCTTCTATAATAAGATCCATATTATCATCTTTCACTATATAGTTGTGTTACGATAGAATAATGCAACAGTGCAAACATATGACTTTTGACAACAACATATAGTATCAAGAATGATTTCTAGCCTAAAAAATCTAATATTATGCTAGGTTGTGACATCTATGGCTCTTCTATGAAATCTCTATGAGGGTGTAGCTTTTAATTCTAGAGGACCTTTATTTTAGAAAATAGAGACATAAAATTCAACAAGAAAGATACTATAACCTATGTACTAATGAGATCCTAAAAACAATATAACATATATTTTTTGTATGCCCAAAAATTACAATAGTATAGAACAAATACATGACTATTAAGAGGCTTACAAATTTGACTATCTCCAATATTATATAGAATGTTGTACTCTATGGCATATTTTTTTACACCTGCCAATGATATAAATATACAAGAAGAAAGCACATTCTAGGACATAGACAATCCATGCTTTATTACCATAAATATGCCTTAGGATATCTTAAAATGTGTGATAATTTGATATGTATAGTGTCAAAGATATAAATATGATCTCAGAGAGGATGAATTCTACTTTAAGATAGCGCTACATCATGTATGACAAATCATAGTGTATGTAGCTATAAGTGCATAGGCAATGCTTTAAAAATATAAATACTATTGTTCATCTAAGTACTATAGTAAAATAGAGAGAAATTTCATAGGATCATAGATACAAATGAATATTTCTTATAAGATAATATACTCTTGCAAATAGAAACCATTTCTTCATCTTGACTTCTTCCCTAGGGACCTAAGCAGTTGACTCCAAATAATGCACATATCTATTGCTAAATCATCACTGCTTTAAGATAGAATAGAAAACAATGACTATCTATAGCAAAGTATAAAATATACAACATCCAATATATGACTAGTAGTGGCTTAGACTCAATTCCAATATCCCACTTCTCCATAAAGATCTAAAGACAATATCATAAACATAAGAGAGCAACTCATCCAAGTGATGACAAAAGATATCCTTGTAAATATTATACATGATATTGAATCCTTATAAGAAGCGTATTTATCATAAGACAAGTAATTGAATTAAAGTTCCACCAGCATGAATCCATAAAAGCATGTGCATTTGAATTAATATTGAGATTTTGAAGGATTTTCAAAGTGAATAATATACTTGGTGGATTTAGATCTTGAAAGAAAAAAAAATTACAAATTTTAGGATTTTGTGAGTTTTGTAGTATGTTTACGAATACAAATTTGGCAATTTGTCATTGTGCTTGTTATAAATATGTGTGAGAGAGTTGAGGTCAATTGAGTGGTTAGATTAAAGAGTATGAGAGTTTTTACAGATTATGGTCATGGAAATTAGAGTTCAAAGGATCAATGAGATTTTCCAAGATATTTGTCAATTTGCTAATTAAATTGATATACAATTTTACTCAATAGTATTTAGTTTGACTTCCAACAATTGTCTAAAGTTTGGAACCAATTAATTGGTGAAATTAAGAGATTTTGACTTTAGAATATTAACATCAAGGTTGGAGAAGGACGTTAGTCGACATCCAACTAGAGTTTAAGGATTATCATTTATTTGGTATGTGCAATCTTCAAATGTTTTGTTCTTAATGTTAACTTAGTTTTTACAAAATTTTTAAATTTTGTATCAAAATCAATGTTTCAATTTTTAGTTATTGAATTTTTAATTTATTACGTGATTGATAAGGATTTATTTAAGATTCAAGATTTAATTAGATTTTACTTAGGATTGATTTAGGATTTCATTAGGATTTAGGATTTTTCTATGGTTTCATTAAGATTGGTCTAGGATGTAAGATTTAATTAGAATTTAGGATTATATTAGGATTTCATTAAGATTTGACCAAAAATTTGATCAAGATTCATTAGGATTTAATCTAAGATTTGATTAAGGTTATTAGATTTTTAATTAGAACTAAATTAGGATTTATTTAGAATTTAATTAATATTTCTATTTTAATTATTTAAAAATAAAGATTATTTTTTATTTTTTAAGATTTATTTTTATATTTTTTAAAGATTTCTTTGTTATTTCTTCTTAAGATTAATTTATGACTTCTTTGTGTTTTTTTTGCAACTTCTTTTAAATTTACTTTGGATTGGTTAAAGTTTGATTTGGATCATTAATGATTACTTAAAGTTTATTTAAGACTTTATTAGAATTGGTAGGATTATTGTTATATTTCCACTTACCTTCCATAGCTAGGTGCTCGGTGCATTTTCAAGTAAGAATACATGTAATACAACACAGCAAATAGTCCTTAGATACAACATGTAGGATTCCAAAACAAAATATAGTTTTTCATCTAGCACTATGTATGCCATAATAGAGTAATCCATTATAAAAAAATTAATACTTTTTTATTTAAGCCATTTTGGCACATTTTAGCCTAGATAGTAGAGTGCTTGCTTAGTTTACGAGAAGTATAGAGATCAATACCCTGGATCTCCACTTCTCATACGGTTTTGCTTTTGAACTTTTTGTGTAATGAATTAAGATCAATTGTAAGGGTCTTCCTCCTAGGTCTTGTTTTCTTCATTTCCTCCTTGCTTAGATTGTGCACCAAACTTTTCGAGTGGATGTTTTGCATTTGAAGAAGCAAAAGTAGTATTCTCTATTGACAATTTCCAGTTGCTTTCAAAAATCACGTACTGCCAAAAGACTCAACATCTTCAAAATTTCTATTGTTCAATGTTTACGTTTAGACGATCCTATCTTAAAAAAATT